TGTATTGAAACACAAGCATGATGCAATAAGATATAAATAAGCGATGGCCTAATCAGACTATTTACTCAAGTGTAAAGCATGTATAAAGGGAATATTCAGAATAAAGCCAATATATAAACTTCCTTTCATCGTATTTATTGCCTAAGTATAATTTAAATACAACACGTCACCGTCAATTTTGATTTTTTCAACTACCAACAATGTGTAAATATGGACCGACAATGGTCAGCTTTTATACTATGAACTCCTGCGTGCATAACAATGCAAGAAAAAGTATTGGAATTTCTAATCCACGCCTGCAACAAAGTTGGTTCAGCACGCCACAAGGCTCTTTTCACGTTCCTTATGCATGCAGTATAATAGCCTGAATGAACCGTATTGCACTCCAATCTTTTACCTAAGAAACTAATTGTTACGTCATCTGTTTACTCGGCATTGTTGTGTTTCATTATTGCCGTCAACAATTCGCTTTCGTTACTGCAGAAAGAGCTGAGCTTTGAGTCGCTTGTGGAGGAAGTGCGTCGTTGAGTAGATAATTTTGTGCTGTTAAAAACGTTTTAGAATATCACGAGTACTTATCTTACATAAGAATTATTAAGAAATCTGTGATACTGCCCTCCATTTTATTTTTGATTAAATTGGTCTTTGCCGGTGGACATCGTGGTCTCTTACAATTGAAACAAGTTTGAGGTAAAAGATTCCTATTTATTATTATTGTTGTTCATCACATTTACGTGTTTCATCTGCATTTGTGAACTCGTGTACGAGAATTAGGCTTGTCAGCTTTTTAACACAATTTCAAGTAATGTTAGATTAACTTCTGTTAGTTCACGGCATCATTGAAAGTAAAATGATATTCCTTTAAGCAATTAAGATTTTACAATTATAAAGGAATAAAATGTGTTTAGTAGCCTAGAATCTTAATAAAAATATATGGCTCTTAAGAAATGGGATATATATGTCTGACAACAGAGTGTTGAGGAAGATATCTGGACCCAAAACGGGAGTGGGACAGATAAGAGAGAAAAGTGCAAGACGAGCTCCTCACCCGATGTTGTTAGGGTGAGGCGGGCAGGGGAGAGGAGTTTACAAGGCCTGAAGGGAGGAGACCTCTGGGAAGAACTCGGCGTAGGTGGGAGGATAACATTAAGACGGACCTTAAGGAGATGGGACTCGATGGAGCGAACTGGATGCAAATGGCTAAGGATAGACCCCGATGGCGGGATTTTTGAACACGATGATGAACCCTCTGGTTCAGTAAAGGAACGGGGCTATTCTTTGACGAGCCTAGTTCCAATCGAATTTTCATAGAATATCTTGCACATTGCAGTGTGTGAGTAGCGTGATTTAGGCCTGATCTACGCATGCGGTAGAACAGCTTAGAGCTTTTGTGACTGTTCAAAACTGTAATTCTCGCGTTCATTTGATAAATTTAAATTATATTTTGTGCTTGTAGTGTATATAAAGCCGCCACGGTGGTCTAGCGGTCAGAACACTAGCCTTGTAATCCTGGGGTCTCGGGTTAGATTCCCGGCGGTGCCCGAATTTATAACTTGTGTTGGGCAAGGCCGTGGTCTAGGCAACACGGAGTTTTCCTCCGTGGCATCCCAACAATTACTCCATGCACACACAGAAGAAGGCAATGGCAAACCACTTCTGGATCATCTGCCAAGAACGTATATGAACAGGGCCCAGTCCGAGAAAAAGAGGGAAGGATCCTGTTCATATGGACCTATCGGTGGTCTAGGCACCCCGGAGTTTTCCTCCGGGGGCTTCTTCCCCGGTTTCTCCGTGGCATCCCAACACTTACTCCATTCACACACAGAAGAAGGCAATGGCAAACCACTTCTGGATCATCTGCCAAGAACGTATATGAACAGGTCCCAGTCCGAGAAAAGGATGGAAGGATCCTATTCATATGGACCTGTCGTCAGACAGAACACTACAAATAAAAAAGTATATATAAATGTGTAACTTAGGCAGGATAGTCTTTAATCATGTAAACTGTTAAGCACTTTTTGTTCTATGAAAAAGCGTAGTCTTCTTTTTCCAAAATTTATTTGTTATAACTGTTTCTGCGTCAAAGGTCACGCATTTTCTATGGCATATTTTTGTCGTAATTTCTCTAAAATCGATTTACCAGAGTAGAGGCATGTAAGACTTTTTAGATTACATTGATATTTTATACGTAATGTCTAGGCACGTAGTTTACATATAAGAAGATTTATGCGAGTAATGACAAACACGCGGCATGACTTAATATTGCCTACATCAGTCACATTTTCAGGGTGATTAAGCCAAGAAGAGTGAGATGGGCGGGGCATGTGGAGTGCATGGATGGGGCGAGAGGTGTGCACCGGGTATTTTTGGAAAGCCTGAGGAGAAGAGACCACTGGGGAGACCTAGACGTAGATGGGAGAATAATCTCAGGCGGGATCTATGGGACATAGGAGTTGAAGGAGACTGGATTTTGTTGGCCCAGGACAAGGTCCGGTGGAGGGCTTTGGTTAATTCGGTGTTGAAACTTCGTGTTCCGTAAGCCGTCTAGGAAGTTATTTAGTTAGTTATATGTCTAATTTAGAGCTTTCTAATTTTGTATTGAATCTCAACTGTAACAAAGAAACAAACTGAGTCCATGGAGCGGAAGGCCTGCTTGAGAATGTAACAGTAGCCCAGGTAATCAAGTGTCTCGCCTTTTATGAAACATGAGATTTCATGTCCGTGTTTACAAGACCCCGCCTCTAAGCCACATCCACAAGCAGATGAAGTCAATTCACACCTTAATTCCCCACCTCTGAGATCCATTTTAATATTATCCCTGCAACTCATAGGACTCTCAAGCTACCTTTCCGTTTCAGGTCTTCCGATTAAAAAGTTGCACTTCTTGTCTCTGCCATGTGTACTACATGCCCCGCCCATCTCATCACACTTGATCTGACAGACTACAATTTATTAATTAGTGAAGAGATCTATAAAGCTCCATATTATGCAATTTTCACCATTCCCTTGTCAGAAACTCTCTCGCAGGACCAGATATTCTTCTGAGTACCGTGTTCCCTCTCAGTCACTCTCAGTTGATGTGCACACGCGTCAGTATGAAGAGAAACCTGTAACAGCGATGGACTGTGTTTCAGGAGATGGAGTCAAACCAAAGTAAAGATGGCGGCAGGTGCACGTGCACCAAAGCATTGGTCCATCTGAACGAGATGAGAGAGAAGAACCTCTTGTGTGACTCGGTGTTGAGGTTGGAGGACGGCGGCGTCTTTCGAGTCCACAGAGTGATCCTGTCGATGCATAGCGAATATTTCAGGTTTGTTTATTAACTGACGTGGTTCATTAACATGTGAAATAAGGACATAAGTATGTGAAATAATTTGTCCTCTTTACTGCAGAAACCTGTATTTTTATATGGCTATTTGTCCTTTGTTATTTGTTCATTGTCATGAAATCTCACGGCGGTGACGAAGAAGAAGAAGAATAATGTCTTCTGGACGTTGCGCCGTAGAAACTGAGTGGCATTTCAGACGTACTTACTGCCTACTTTCCTTGATGATTGAGGCAGTAAGCACCTCTGAAACGTCCGATAATTACTACGACGCAACATCCCGGAAGACGTAGGTGTTTTTTTGTACTAAATTTAAGTTCGGTTGTACCAAGGTGACAGTTAATCGATCTGGAGGGAGAAATAGGATCAATACCTTTCCAAAACGTCTTGGTTTTAATACATAAAGACGACCGACAAAGTGCAGAAGAAAGTTGGTAATGCACCTTCGTAACGACATTGTCTGTTACATTGGAAGCTGCTGTGAGTTGCTCTGTCTGAAATAAACTGTAACAAAGACCTTCTGGAAATAAGTTTCATTGGCAGGAGAGAATCGTTCGAGAATTTGTACATACGTTAATTTGCTTGTGTTTAAATAAAGATGCGGCGAGTTCTTAAAATGGGAAATTAATTTTAACCGTGAACCATTGTTTCTGTTTCCTAACAGACGTTTCTCACGTCTTGTTACAAGCTGTACCCCTCTTTCAGTTTTCCGACAATCAAATCCTCCTGTTTGTCTTGCACTGCAAAGCACTTAAATTGTAATAGGAAATTGTTTGCTGGTTGGTGATCACTTTTTAAAGGCCGCGTAGAACCATCGGCTTTTCTTTTAAGCTGTTTACTGTCGGGAAAGCGTTTTGACAGAACAAATAGATTTCATATTACGAACTGATCAATCAGTGGAATGTACATCCTGCGATGTATGTTGAAATATTTGATTTACTTTGCTGGTTGGCTTTAAAATTTCTGTAGGAGTTGTTATAACCTCAGATATCTCTTGAAGGAGTGAAATATATGTAAGAAACGAGGCGACCATTCTATAGTACAAATGTTCGCTGCTTGCATTCCGATTAGTAATTTATATTCTGTTAAGTCTCCGCACGCTCTTAACCCTCTGGCAGTTAATGTGATCCCATTAGTACCCATTCTGGCAGTTTTTGAAGTATTCAGATAACAGAAATTCGTATATCACACTGAAAAACGATACTTTTATTCGGCTACGTGAGTTATAAAAACTTAACGTTTATGCGCATGGCTTGTAATTTTCTGCTTGCCGTTTCTCCAAATCGACGACTGCTTCGTGACGATTCAGGACCCTCTTCACGACAACACTGCACACCAGCGAGGAGACTGATATTCTTCTCCACGCAGTCAGCTCAGACATGATGAACCAGATACTGGATTTTGTTTATTTGCGAGAGGTTGACATTCACTCCGACAACGCGCGTCAGCTGCTCGTGGAGGCTGACTACTTGTGTATTCCTGGCGTTACTAAACTCTGCTGCGACTTCCTCAAGAACGCGATGGACGCCGACAACTGTATCGGCATCTTGGTTTTCGCAAGGTAATTGATGTTCATTTGTCATTTGCTGTGACGTAAGCCTTCGCCGCTGGAGCGACTCAGCAGCCGAGTGCCGGGTCGGAGGTTAAGGCCTCTGACTGAGGACTGGGAAAATTATAAAGCGTTGCCAGGCTATTTATGTGCTTGTAATTTAAATGTTCTGATTTCTTTTTTTCTTTCCTTCTTTCTCTGCGGAATTCCTTGCTTCTTACATAATACTCCCAATATCAGAATCAACTTTCAGCCCCACATCTTTCTGCATACAGAAGAAGCACCTGTTAACCGAGCATCGATTATCCGATTCCCAAATTAGCGACCGAATTTCGACCAGATCTGTTGCGATCGGTTTCCACCGGCGAGAGTGTTTATAGCGATGTCCACGCGGTACAGTTCATTGATCTAACCTCACACCCATATTTTGATGAGAATTATGAAAACTTCAAGACATTTAGAGAAGTGGTTATTATTGGGCAAAGACAAGATACAACCCGCTGGTCCCCGTAGAAGATGAACTCTTACTTCGTCTTGTTCAGGAAAACATAGCTAGCAAATAAATTGACATTTGCAGAATCACACCAGAACCTCCACTTGATGCGATGGACTGAATGGCTGATAAATTCGCTATTTTAATATAGGAACTTCCTTGAACAGCGCCCACAAGTGACATTTCCCGTCGGCTTGTGTGTGCGAAACGCCCGCATCATCCACCGTAGAGGAAAATCTGCATTGAGTCTCTACTTATTTGTCAATTCCATGACCACGTTCCCTTTCTCTCGCTCATCCGACCTATCGGCTTATCCGAACCGCGGTTCCTCCCCCCCTCCCCCCATACAGTCCGGTTAAACGAGGTTTCACTGGATTAACACACATAGCTAACACAACGTCGTTTCGCCAAGGTTAATGCCAGAACTAAAAATTCTACACTTCTCATCTCACTGCCTTCTACACTTGCGTAAACCGTGCTCTTGTTTCAACCTATAATCTTATCACGAGGACGAGCGGGCATTGCCTTGGAAACTTCAGAGCCGAAAACTTTCTATTTATCCACGGTTAAACTGAGCATCTCTCATCGTTGCCTCGCACACTTATCTGCTCTCAGTGTGCTCATTCGGGCTTCAAAAGGACTAAGGTAAAATTGGAAGCGAAATATTGTGGTGTGCAAATGCTTGAGAATCAAGTTCTTCCTGCAGTGTTTCAATGTGTCAGAGTTCGAAGGAGATCGATTCTGAGTCGGCTCTTACCTTCGCTGTCTCAGGTTTTACTTCTTCGCCGACCTCGAGACTCACGCTCACCGCTTCGTTCTGCACAACTTCATGCAAGTGTCTCTGAAGAGCAAAGAACTGCTGGAACTGCCTGTAGAGGAGCTGCAAGCGATAATCGAGTCCGAGGAACTGAACGTGAAGGACGAGACATTTGTGTGGGAGTGCATTCTCCGGTGGATCAACCACGACCCGGACAACAGGAAAGGTCACATCGCGGGCCTTTTGAAGGGCGTCAGACTGGGACTACTTGGCGCAAAGTTCGTCAAGAAGAAGGTCAGAATCGCCATGAAATCGTGGATGTTTATGGGAAGTGAAACCCACATTTTCAATTCCATATTCACACGTGTTCGTAACTAATTAATGCAAATCGGAAGCCTTTTCCTTCGTCACGTGTAAGCCCGTCTGTTTGTCCGCAGTTCCAGGTCGAGAACGTCTGACCGGATGTTCATTAGATTTAATGCTGAAGAGCTTTAACGGAATCTGTTGACACATTCCAATTCTGGTTAAAATCTTACAACAAAAACGTGAAAATTACACAATGAATTGAATGCCTTGTTTCGCGCAAAATTTCCTGCGTAAGAAATCCCCAGATTCACTTAGTTACCAAGGTTACAATGACTATCTGTGGAATACCGCTGGTAACACGCTCGTATACATGTGTGTATGTGCAAAACAAATATTCGATTCGTCCTTTTATGCAGATATGTGGTTGGATTTAATAATCGTCTTTTATTCATCGTCTGTAAGTTTGAGAGTCCGTCTGCACTGCAAATCTTTGATTACAGTCTCAGCCTTTATAAATATCCATTACGTGTTTCAGTTCAACTACAGCATTCCACCGTTAACTACATTCAAACGTCCACTCAGTTTGAATAGGAAAATCCTCCAACAGATAAATCACGTCTTCTGGCTCAGCGTTCTACATAACCAAAGATCCTACTGCCATAAGAAGCGTATCTTAACTGCTATAATAATTTCACACATGTCCGACGGTATACATAGTCAACCCGACAACACTTAGCATGATAATCGTCAGCTGATTGACCACATAGGGATAATAGAAATCGGAAAATGCAGCAAGAAAACTTCGTTCAACATCCAAGAGTAAATTACCCCAAATCTCATAGACAGCTTTAACTTTCTAATATTTTAACCGTTATCTCACGAAGCAGCCATACAACTTATGATATTCCTTCTTCCATTTCATCAAGCGCTTTAACCCGAGAGAAAAAATGTTTCTACTCAAGGTCAAATGCCCTGTACTTTCAGCCACTCGCCTCTTACGACTACGTGTGAAACACTCGCACGGAGTCATAAAATTTTATCTGCATCAAATGTCTATACAATTTAGAATTCCTATCTACTAGTTTCGAAAACTTAAAGAGAAACACCTGATGATGATCAATTAAGGTCGAAACATGCAACGGCCCTTAAGAGACATCGAGCCTATAATCACGCTGTTGTGTTGACGGACTTCAACCCAACCATCAACATACAGCAGGTTGCCTCCCTGGAAACTCGAAGCAACTAATTGTCATAACTTTCTTTTGATGCTACGTAATTTTGACGATTAAAGAATGTGGTGATCGCAGCGTCCATCTCGCACGGGAGAGACGAGAAATAAGTTACATTTTTGAATGTAACTCATATTGCAACCCTTACTGAAGTATTTAACTTTCGGTTGAAACACATTTCAATAGTTTTCTCTAAGATCGATTTAACCTTGATTTCGCTTCTCCCCACAACCTGTGCATTTGTTAATAGCGCCGTTATATAAAGCAAAAATCATATTATCTTGTATATACCACAGTCTATTTCGGTGAGTTCCGAACCAAATTATGTGTGAATTTCTTGTCTCCTCTGCAATGGAACGTGCCATCTCTTCCTAAAAGTTCATAAGGTCCACATTGAACTGTTCAACAGGTGTCAAAGCACCCGTACGTAACGGAAAATGAGCGGTGCAGACCCGTGATCTCGGACACGCTCACATACCTGCCCGACGTGAAAAAGTTGACGAAGAAACACATGGACTTCGTTATACCAAGGTTTGCCCCCCCGCGAAACCCACAGGACATTCTGTTTGTTATTGGTGGATGTCGCTACGAAGGGTTTACAAATGTGATCGAAGCGTACGACGCACGAGCAGACCGGTGGACTGTGGTGAGTTGCACACATTTCTACTCTTAACGTGCCTTGTTAAATGACGTCTCCGAGAAAAACTAACTTTTCTTTCGTAGCTTATTTATACCAAGTAATTGTTTATTTAAGCTTAATCACAAGCACCTCGTCGCCTCTTTATTTCGTGTTCGTTTATTTCTATTTCAGTGAACCCTTTTTTAAGAGAAGCTCCAAAGACATAAATTAAAGAGAATAAATGAATAAATTACACAAGTGCTGAGTCTCATGTACAATGTAAGTTGTAATAGGAATCGACGAAGGATGTGAAGTTTGCCTTAAATACCATTTACAATAAGCGTCCTACATCAACTGTCATGGCAACCTGTCTGCTGATTTTAGACATGAAACGAAATCATCGTTGATCGTCAGTGGATTTCAATGTAATAAATGAGTATCGATGTTGGCCATCTGCGTGGTAACGCCTCGTGAATTAGAAGGCTTTGGAGTGGGGTGGGGGAAGTACTGCCTCCAGCTTCGCGTCGATAAAACCCAAAACACCAACATCTGTCTTTGCCATCGTACGAACCTGAAATGTCAGCTGTTGATCAGAAATTAATTCTACATTTGTCTGTCGAACTTGACGAGAGCACTGGTAATGTTTGAGCTTCTCTTCGGGTCTTCCTCTTTCCTCCGCCTCTCATAATTCCATTTCTCACGGTCTTTGTCGAGTGCCACCCACCACGGTGGAGCAGTTTCGGTCCACTGTTGGGGATTGCACCTCTGATCCGGTGGTCGGTCGCTTGGACTCTAATGTACGGACTTCAGTTTAGTGAGCCAAATACTCAAAGAATCGTAAGCCATAACCTGTCGTTCCTGCAGGTAAAGGGCGTCGACTCGATCGGTGCGGTAGCCTACCATTGCACGGCAGTAGTCGGTTTCGACATTTACGTCATCGGTGGTTTTGGCGTTTCATGTGTCTGCTTCAACGCTGTTACGAAGAAATGACGCGAGGTGGCGCCTATGCATGAAGGCAGGTAAGATGCAGCTTGGTACCTAAGGAACTCCTTGGAACAGAGTTCTTCCTAAAAAGCTGATAGTCGCTCTGTTAGTCAAGATATAAATGTGAGCAGGTTCTGTACCACTCACATACAGGAGCATCGTGCAAAGTATGAATAGGTAGGAGGACTTTTTGAACAATGTTGGTTATAAGAATATGATTTGCTTCTTAATTCTTTTGAATTGTGATTTAACAATGACGAGCGAACAATTGCGTTCTGCGAGAGGAAATGCATCTGAATCAGCAATAAATGAGCATAGCAGAGCGTGTACTTTTACCGTTTCAGACGCAGTTTAAGTGTGGCAGTTCTGCGAGGTGCAGTGTACGCCATGGGCGGTTTCTATGGTGGTCTGCATCTCAGTACGGCGGAAAGATACGACTGCGAGACGGACCAGTGGTCTTTGATCGCTCCCATGAACACAGGGCGAGAAGATGCAAGTGCGGCTGTACTGAATAGTACGTAAATCCTGTGAAACATAAATTTGTGAAATAGTGCAGAAGGCGAGGCGTCTGTCTGTAACGACGCAAGAACGGTTGAAGGAATCGCAGGATTTGAGGTTCTCACGGTCGCGAGTACGAAGATGGCTGTCGTTTGGCTTCTGTCGACGTTTCAGACGAACTTTATGCCTTCATCATCAAGACATTCCTCATCTTCTCTCTTGAACTTAGTTTCCCTCACTCCTTTGTCCACATTCTTTTATTATCTCTTTCTTTTATCCGTGCTACGTACTACGTTATTTCACAGACTGCAACGGCTTGAAGTTCTGAGTCGTGATGGTTTCTTCTGCTCTTGTAAACTGTCCCTGTGCGTCGTCTTCTGCCTTTGTAGTGTACACTCGGAGTGAGTGTAAACAACCGTCAAACTATCAAACTGGCGCTCATATAATACGGATGTAATATGTTTTGAGGCAATCAATAATCTCATGTAAATAGCACTTTGTTTTATAAATGTAGAGCACCACTTGGCAGCTCGTACCGTACGTCTCTAGCACCAAATTTAATAAAATCCAATTCACAGAAAATGTATTAATAACTCACCATCATTACCATTATGCATTAATTTAAGCACTTTATGCTGTTTGTATTAAATTATATCGGTACAATTACTTTACTTTGACACGCTGTTTGTCTGCATTTAAAACAGAGAAACAGTTGAACAGAGACAGCCGTGTCTGTGGCTCGAGGGGGAACATAAAATAAAATATCATTAATAGATTTACAAATTTAAGTACGGATTGTCCCATGTCTGTGATCTGCATGGATCAGTTTAATGCCTCCGCCTTCATCAAAATTGTTTACAGTTTGTGTCATATAGCTAATTTGTTTTTACAGACAAAATATACGTCGCTGGTGGACGTCATGATAAGAATTTTCTAAACTCGGTGGAAGTTTACGACACGGACATCGACCAATGGACGTTCGTTGCACCAATGCTTTCTGGACGTGGGCGTTTTTCTTGTGTCGAGTTCCTGGGCTGTCTGTACGCCGTAGGTGAGAACTCTGGGCATTCTGAGTGATGCCCCTGTATCCTTCTTACAGAAATTGTTATTGTGAAATGTATTCCTGGTTTTCTTTGAGTGACTGAGATTTTATGAACAACATTTTTCTCCTGTCCTTACAGAGTTAGTTTGTTGGTAATTTAAACCCCGATTCGTCGTTTAGATTACATTCTCCAAAAAGAACAATTAACTAACTAACTAACAACGCATAATCTCTTGTGGTATCTCAAGTAAAGTAGACACAGTCGCAGTTTTTAAAGGTAAATATTTTGTCCTTGTAGCAAGGAAATTTCAGTTTGCCGTGCTGTTATCCCCAAAAAGCCGATGGTTTAAAGCAGTTCCTTCGCAGTCTTTGCTTTCGTCACTTGTTTGTGTCACGCCGTTTTGAAGAGTGCATCTTGTGTTGATATATAAGTCCTTTCGCACGCAGTTTCATGAAGCAGAAAACAGATGTCAGGCGCAATTTCCTGATGCTACAAGTACGAGAATAATATTGTAGCTTTTTCATCTTTAATTTCGTTCCTGGTACTAATACTAACACTTCAAGAGGGAATGAATTTTCTTCGTTGTATTTCATTTATTCGTTGCGTTTACGGAATTGCAAATTTTAAGTGCGTAAAAACTTTGGTTAAGACGGACGGAGTTTGAAGCATTGAAGTTACGAGAAATACATACGTCTAGAAAGTTATAATTAGTAATCTTGAAGGTAAGATACCACTTGTGATGATAGTCTTAAAAGGAAGGATAATATTAAAATGTTTTATGGAACTAGATTATGTGGAAATGGTTCAACTACCGACTTTTGTGAATAAGGTAATGAATCTTGTGGTTCCATACAGGCTAAACATTTGGTGGCCAGGTGACAGTTACAAATATCAAGATGGGCCCCGATAAATGGGGTTAGAATAAGTTCCCTTTGGCATTTTTTTTTGTATACTGTGACCTGTTACTGAATGTGTGTGTGCAGGAGGACACAACAAGACATCAGACGACCTCAGCACCGAAAAGTATGACCTCGCCGAAGACAAGTGGACCGAGATCCCTGGCATGGTCGTCCAATCGTCTTGCATCAAAGTAGAAGTAATCGACGATAAAATCTTTGTCATCGGTGGAAGTTATAACCAGGGCTCCGCATGTGTCGATGACAAGGAAATTCGATGGTTTGTTTCTTTCCTTGATTGTTCAGGGCTGTATAATCACAGACTTTTACTTTCGAAAAACACTAGGAAGTGAATTATTTCCGGTCAAAATAACCGCGATCTTGCGAATGCTGCGCCGTGTAGTATCGTAGAAATTGACCGACGTTTCGGAGGTTCTTCCTGCTTACTCAAGACCTTGAATAAACGCACGACAAATGGGTGAGTGGAGGGGGTAGAATGAAAGGAGGCAGGGCGACGTTGCGGTCAAGCTGAATCGCTAAATCAGAGGGCAAATGACTGGGAAATGCTAATCAGATGTAAGCTTTAACTGCATTAATAAGAAGCTCTTTGACGAAGTTTCTTTGATGAGTGGCACTCACTTGGACAGGAAGTTTGTGGCGTTCAGCACATCAGCACCGCCATAATCTTTATCTTTCATCAAAGGGTTAGGCCAGTTTCAGGTTTAACGACGCCTCTCCGTCTTATGTTCCAATTTCTGATGGAAGTTTACTTGGAAAAGGCTGTCTCTTGGCATGTTTGACCATGCAGTCTCCTACCATCTATTGACGGAGTTGGTAAGGCGCTCCAAAAACACCCCAGAGGACAAATTTCTTCTTATTTGTTTGTGCAAGAGCCTAAAATCCCACAGAAATTCATTCGATTTTGGTTTGTGTCTGTTTTACGTCCAGCAGAACCTCTCCAGAATTATTTTTGGTGGGTCAAAATTTTATTGTCATGGGCGCATGTCTCAAACAAGACACGCTTATCTCTCCGAAGAAAGCGTGTGATTAAATTTATTATTCTGACCGAAGGTAATGGCGTAATGAAGTGTACCAAACGTAGCTTGCGCAGTACACAAGTCATTAAAATAGTGGTAATCTCTCCCTCCATTTTGATGTAATAAAATATATTACGTTATAATACCGCGTTGGCCGGTGTCCTATGTGCATCTGAGTAAAAGAAAGATGAACTGGAAACTGTTCTGAAATATGGTGTGGGAATCGTGCACTGACGTCCGATTGGGGGAATTATAAGCAACGACATTTCGTTGGAAGCTATGCCCTTAGCTTCAAGCAATTTTCCATTCTACCCAAAGACATGGATATTTTTAGGTCAACACATTTTACGACTCGCAAAGACAATTCTTTTATACTTATTCTACATTGAAATGTCTAATATTTTAGAACACCAGAAGAAAAAGTATATATATTTTTAAGAAAGTGGATATTTTCTCGACATAAATGCACTGGCATTCAAATTACATTTCTGTTAAACTTATATTAAATAAATTATTTATGTTAGAAGACGCATTCCTTCGTGAGTTGCATCATCTCGTGTTGAGTTACATATTTTCTGTAACTGTGTCCGCCAAATGTGATAAAAATTGTCTTGAGTGTAGATAATACTGATGGGCGATGAAAGAGGGGTTGTTTATACTTTTAATTTTTTAAATTGCAGGTACCAGGCGCCAGAGATGAAATTTGATAGATACTGTCCGTCGACTTGTGTCATCAAGAACCTCCCGAATGCAAGCGACTACACCTACAAACTCAGAGACAAATTAATGAAGAAGAAACGCAAAAGAAGGAGGAGAAAAGTAAAATAAATGTTAGATTGGGAGAATCAGTAGTTTGCAGTTGATTACAACCACGACGAACACATTAATTTTAATTACTTTCCTTATGAAAATAATGTACAAATTTGAATTGATGTAGGAGCTACAAAAAAATAAGAAGAGAAATATTGTTTGCAGCAGAGAAGGAAAAAATTATTTCTCGTTATTTTCTGCTCAAGAAGTCTTATTGAAATTAGTTATTTTACAGACGTTTAATTTTATCTAAAATATTACCATCCACCAACACACAGCAGTTTCACCTTGCGTCTTGTATTAAATAAATCCACTTGTGGCGACATGTTTCGAGCTACGAAACCGTCTTCATGGTATTAGGGGAAGAGTAAATATTTTTCTTCATGGACATTGTTTAGAAAATCGTCATTACGAAGGTAAAACAGTGAGAATTTTGTATCGATTTCTGATCTACGTGTGATATTGTAAGGAAATTGCACATGTACATTTGGCTGAGTTGCCCAAATATACCGGTTAATTGTGCCATGTGCCTGGGGAAGAAACAACCTTTTCAAATGGCATGAAGAAACAGACGATGCTTTCAGTTGACAGATGTATTTATTTATTCAGGTTATTTTGTAGGGTACTTTTAAGTATTTTAATGAATTAGCACAAAATATTACTATAAAATACACAAAACTAAGAACTTGAATTTAGTTAAGATACATACGGAGTAATAGAAATATGTCACAGCTGTAATCAAACGGGGAACTCAAGGCATGTTTCCGAGATAAAATCTAATACAGGATCAGCTTAACAGATCTTAAGCCGGGCCTGAAAGAAGACTTTACGCCGTCTAACTGCCTGGTACCTGGACAAGAAAGTGCCATTAACCCAGACGTGGTTAACATAACACATTACTTATTCCCGCCGGAGCCCATTGTGTTACAAGACTGCAGACTCGAACTAATAGAAATTCGACGAGAAATGAGAGTGACGAGAAATTCCCATAAAATGAGGGAGCAGTTGGATAAACTAAATAAAGATGTTCAGACGGCCTGCAGAAGAAACAAAAATACATAAATTAGAAACGTATGTTTAGAAATAGAAGAACATTCTAATCGCCATCAAAATGGAGATCTTTTTGCTAAACTCAGAAGACTGACAAGAGAATTTAAACCTCAGAGTTGGGTCATAGAAAACAATTTGGAAGCGGAAGTAACAGAAATTGAGAAGATTTTTAATGTCTGAAAATTATATTTTCAAAATCTCTTTTCAAAATGTAGATGATGATGATTTATGGGAGCCTGATATAAATCTGACATTAGAACCTGGAATTCTACGTGGTGCGGTGAAACTAGCTGTTCATATGTTAAAAAGAGGAAGTCTTGTGGGCCGGATGGAATCCCTCCTGAGACCCTCAAGGCCACGGGAGATATCCTACTAAAAATATGCCAAAATATATGGATTACAGGAAAATGGCCTGAAGATTGGACAAAATCCATCTTTGTTCCAATATACAAAAAAGGATCGAAGAAAAAGTGCGAGAACTATCGTTTAATAGCGTTAATATCGCACGCCAGCAAAGTCATGCTCCAGATCCTACGTAATCGTTTAAAAAGCCTTTTTAGACCATCAAATACCTGAAGAACAACTGGATTTGTTAAAGGCAAAGAAAGGCACAAGCGAACAACTTTTAAATGTAAGGCAAACAGTCGAGAAGGCCAGGGAATTTTATGCTCCGGTTTATCTGTGCTTTTTGGACTATGGAAAGGCCTTCGATTCCGTGCAGTGGAGCCATCTCTGGCGAATACTTGCTTACATGGGTGGACATTGTTTATTATCTGAGGTATATTTGATATATGCGACTATTAGAGTTTCCACTCTGCCCCGTTTTCCTGTGACTTTTTGTCACTGAACTGACGACTTTTATCTCGCGATCTTACAGAAAACGATCCATGGACGTGAAACGTAAGTAGAGGGAAAACTGCAGTCATTTGCGGGTCACGACGGTGACCTAGCAGCCTAGCATTCCACAGGTTTCACCGTTGTCATTGGCAACACGAGGAAGAGTGTCAGCCAAACTAATGAAGAGGGGAGCAGAGCCAACTCACGGAACGTCGTGTAAGGGCATACCTCGTTTTATTGCGCATCGCAGATATTGCGTTTTGTACAAATTGAAGGTTTGTTGCAACCCTGCGTCGAGCAAGTCTATCGGCACCATTTTTCCAAGAACATGCGCTCACTTCGTGTCTCTGTGTCACATTTAATTAAGGTATGTACATTGGTTTTTATACATAATTCTATTTCACTCTTAATAGACTTCAGTATAGTGTAAACATTACTTTTATATGCGCTAGGAAACCAAGAATTTCGTGTGACTCGTTTTATTACGATATTCGCTTTATTGCAGTGGTCTGGAACCAAACCCGCAATATCTCCGACGTATTCCTGTATATGAAGTATACCACAGACAATGGACGATATCTAACAATGTTTCGACAATGAATCAACCATTGTTGAAACTCCCGGAATTTTGAAGACTAATAGTTTACAAAACTTTCTGTGTTTTCAGCAGGGCATACTCTGTTAAATATTACTTTAATAACTGAATGGGTTATTTGCAAAACCACGTAAGTTCACAAAGCTCACTTTCTAGAAAATTAAAAAACTTAGTTGATTTTACCCCAAGAATAACTTAAACCAAAACAAAGGATGAAATATGTGAGTCAGGGACTCATGTCATCTTGACGGGTAACATATTGTAACGTGGGGCGGTATTGGTACCCTGGATTGTCAACCCTGATTTATTCACGTCAAATTAAATCAGTTACAGTCAACTCTCTACAACAACAACAACACACTTCGTGTCTCTGTTCTCTGCACACACACATAGTCTCGCACTGTCCTTCGAGTCTATCTGGTCCCCCGAGCTCGGCGCTCTTCACACTCTTCGCTTACACATCGACCCGTAGCACCCCACTGGACACACGCTGGCTCCTCGGCCGCCACGGTCCACGTACCCGGTGCTCTCTCACGCAGCCGACCTGTCCTTACTCAGCGTCACAATATGATAGATAAGGATCCCCACACGAGCGCAGTAAATGCTCTTTCTCACGTGGTTTTTGTGGGAAGCGCGAGTTTATAAACCCCTGATGACTGACACTGTAGCAACAGCTCAACGCATTAAAAATAATGCCACATTCACGCTGTATACTAAAATTTGTAATTCCATTTCCACTCCCCAGCGGCGAAAAAAATTCTGTCGTTGTGTGCTTTCAGGATGTGTATGGAGTAGACACGGTCTTGGTCGGTTGATGATCAGTGACTGGCTTCCTATTGGTTGAGAGTCTAGGAAGTACCTTCAAGCGATATTCAATCATGTACTTCGACTGTCCTCGGCCTGTGAACAGGTATAGACTCGGTCAAAATACCTTCGTGCGATTGTGGACTACGCATGCCACTTTCCTGCCTGTTTCTCGTCTATGTTACTTCAGCTCCATGCACACTTTGGACAGAGTAGATATTTGTTCACGTTTTCATTATTTATTTGTGCTGTACTAAACATCGTGCTCAGTATTTCAGGCTTGGCACAGAATGATAGAATGACCAATGAATTAAGAATCTGAAAACGATATGGAAGGAGCCAGTTGCAGCCTAATTTAATTTAAGCGTTTTGCACAGGCAGTTTACTGTAGGAACTGAAGAAAATCACAAAAGTCCTTAGTCAATGTAGCAGATTCTTTGGGCTCTCAGTTGAAGATGAATTATCTCCACTCCGCGGGAAGTTTTCGCGGGTTGGGGTAAGGGGTGAGGGAAAATTTTCCTGCTTAGGGAGTAGAGGTGGGTAGAGAGTTGATCTTACTGCGCGTGCGTCTACGCCTACACCTCAGCTCATTCAAATTCCAAACGCAATATTTTCCAATAGCCTTTATGAGTGCGGCCCACTTAGTATCGAATCTTCTTGCATGTTTGACGCGTAATTTGGGGAAGAGTACAACGTAGCAGTTCAACTCTACCCTACTACTAAGTCTACTCTCAGCGGACTTCTGGTAGCGCACGGCCTGTATCCACAACTTTTCTGTTTCGGAAAAAGAAAGCGTTGACTTACTGGAGGAAGTGTACTGAATGCCAAAGTTAGGAGCACACAACTTTATTCTAAAGGATTCACTTATTGTATAGGCGGGGTTCATTACATCGTGATTTATTGAGCATATGCATTTGTAATGATAGTGTCCGATGTCGAACTTAGACATTAACGAGGTTGCTGATTTCTGTACCATTCGCTTATTTTCTCAACTTCTCCACTGAAATTCCATAATGTTAACTTAATGTAGCCTAATACTGCAATATTCCTAGTCGACTAACTTTTTAAAATTAGTGTAGACCGCACTTTCTACGAGAAAATATTAGTGCGAGGCGTTCACTTTGTAGCAGAAACATTGTTGCAAACAAACTGTATATACAGCTGCAAAATAATTAATGTATGAGTCTTCATTATTTAAGTTTTTGTTATAAACCATGCTCATTCTTCTGCTTCCAATGATGTGTCTGCATTTTGTGGGTCATCATACCTCTTTCAAGGCTTTGTGATGTGTTGAAAGCTGTTTCCTGCTCAATCCACTGCCAGTTTACTGGATCTGTCACATCTTCACTGCCGTCATTTCAGGGTTCCTCCCGTAGTGAACTTTGCCTCCTCCCACGACAGAGACACTGGATTGGCTTTTGGGAGGGATGTTCATTCTAAATTGTTATATTGAAGCATTATCATTTCATTGTAAGCAGAGAAGTACCGTTCATATTTTCTGTTTTGTAACATGTATGATGTGTTTTGTAAAGTAAAATTTTGAGTTACAATTATGTAAAATCCTACACTCTCAGATATGTTGATTAACATAAATGAGATGTCAAGTGGCAATTTTCTGCTTCAGATTTATACTTATTTATTTCTTCTTCAGAAGCTTTTTCGGTTACCTCACATGTGATGCGCAAGTACATGCATTTCCAAATCAACTTGAACATAAAATTTCAGTGCATTTTGTATTTTGCTTGTGACTGCAGAATTAACACTTTTGATATGGCAGTCTATTCTTAAAGACACCTTATTCTAAGATACTTTATAAATAGCATTGAATGTCGTGGCCAAGTGTTTAGCATTATGCTTTGTATTTGGATACTCTGTGGTTCAAATCTCAGCCTGGAGACTGGTAGTCTTGGCTGAGACTTTTTGTGACTTTCCTTAGTCCCTCCAGGCAATTCTGGAGTAGTACCTTAAATCAGGCCAAAACTGCTTCCTTCCACATACTTTCTTATTCATTGTTCATTTAACACTTTATAATCTGAGCTACTGACAACCATTAAATAAACTAACTACATGGAGTA